CCTCTTCATCCTTTTCTCCTATTGTTTCCTCTGTGTCTTCGTTCGGTGTTACAGTAAGATTACTTATAATGGAAGTAACTCTTCGAGGCGCACGATTTTAAAGCAGAAAATAACCTAAGTTACACAGAATTCGCTATACCAGACGATTCGACAACCTCAATCGCAACGGTTTCAACTTACTAATATGTTTCGACTTATATACATTTTTGTTCTCATTTACCGTTAATTCATAGCATTGCCGAGTGAATGAAGAACTTGAAATGAAACAGTTTTTAACGCACCTAAGCTCAAAGAGTTAATGGTTGACAGGTAACTATGAAAGTGAGGTTTTCCGTAAGAAACTGATACGAGCCGAGGGACATGTAAGTTAGACCAGTATCCGAAAGGGGAATTTTATGAGGAATTTGTAAACGTGGAACCCTGTACGTGGAATATTTTTGAAATTTGGTAACATGGACGGAGTGGAGTTAGTTTGAGTCGCGAAAGACTCGAATGGCAATTATTTTTGGATTGTTAGAAACTAGACGACGCACGTGCCTTGGAACGTGTAATAACACTACTGGATGAATATTTGTGTGACATGTTCTTTGGGCAGAGCGAGGATCTTGTGGAAATGCAGGGAATTACAAATCCTTGCGCATTATGCAGATTGTCCTCGTGACTGTTAGGTGTTCGTGGAGATGTTGAGATGTATCAGGTGTATGCCTTGAAATTGTATCGAAGATGCATCGCGAGTCAGATGTGACAAACGTTAAATCGAAGTCTCGTTAATTTTGTATCAAATCTAGCCCACGACTGCTATCGAATTAAAGAAAGCATTCTTTGAAAGTAGACTGTTTTGAACATTATATAAAACTGACGTCTTTAAATTATTTTTAATCGAACATACGAGGAGACAGATAGAGAGTAAAAAGAATTTGCACCGCGCAATATAACGATCAGTATCCACCAATGCTGATTTCTCGCATCGCTTGCTCGAGGAGCAACCCTCAGTGAAAATACTGCGTACACGGGAAGTCGAGACGACGTTGAAAAAACAGTTCTAAGGTGATCGAGAGGGACGCGTTGCTAGACCGCGAGGTGCGATACGTCGCCGACAACGAACGTAATGAGAACGAGATAATGATCGACTCGAAAAACACTGTTGCTATGGAAACAACCTCCGTAGACTTCTTGATGAACCCGACGGTGGACAGATTTCCTGCCCTTTCTCTCTGACGAAAACACGCCTTTTTAACTCAACTTTAATCTAATATTTCGTACACCATTACGAGTCTCGGTTAAAATTCACAAATTTACAAAATTATTCAATTTCTCATTTAAAACCTAACACAATCCCGCCTGACAAAGTGCAAACAACACAAATCCACAGGATACACGTAACTCATACATATACAATTCACCGATACGATCGACACGTTTCACGTTCAATTAAACATCGAAGTCACCAAGATATTCGATACTCGTATTCACTATTCGTATTCAATCTTTCCGATCCAATTATGATCCTTGAATGACTCAACTATTCAATCCATATTCTACTATCACCCCTAGGACGACCGCAGATGTAGCAAATATTCGCGTGGATAATTATAATTATTCGATTAATATTCTTTATTCACCCTTCGAATAATCACAGGTACGAAAGACGCGCGCGTGAAATAGTTCCGTCAACACTGTGTCACACTAAAATCGCATCGAAATCGACTGCACGTCGCTCGCGCCCTATATTTCCCGCGAGCCGCGAAGAAATTCTGGCGAATTCCGCTCACGTGCATTTTTCTTTTCCCTTTCTTCTGGAATTAGGCCTCCCCCCGTCCCCC